GATTTTTTGCAGCATCGACACCTTCTGCGTCAGAGTATTCTTCTATTTCTGAATTAAGAAATGGAAAGTTAGAAGATGCACCAGATTGAAACTGAATAAAAACATAGAATGGTGGTGTCGATACCTTGGGTAATCGGTTTCTTAGAACCACTCCGCTTTACACGACCAATCGCGGACCGGAGGGCCTCTTCGTATGTACTTTCGAATGCAAACGAATACCGCCAAGTTTGCCATTCAGCAAGGTATCCTGGACGGGCTTTGAAACCATTAGGGAGGCCTGCACTGTAATGGGTGCGCATTGTGTTAGCAATTTCAATACAACAGAGAAGTGGGTTTCGATTCTTGAGAGAGTATTCTTTCTTCTTGGTCCCTTCCGAGAAGCCCCTTGAATAAGGAATTGGCATGGGAATTGCTTGCCAGAGTCCAAATTGCCTAGCGCAATATTGTGGAGAGTATACCTCAAATCCAGGATAGAATCGACCCTTCAATGAAGTCCATATGGGAAGATCTACCGCAGATAGAGCACAAGTCCAGAAAGGCCTATAAAGATTGAATCGAGCTGGATCGAACAAATAATCAAACTCTCCATGGCCATATTTAAAGAAAATGACTCGGTCATGATTCAGTTCAATAAAAGCTCGAAGATAGAAGATAAAAGGAGGCGCTTGAGAATCAATATGTCGAGGGGAACAGCTCAGCAGTCAACACCCCAGGGTAAAGGTACAAGTCTTCTATACCCTTGCAGAAACAAATGGGGAAGATAACGATCACCTTTACTAAAAAGGGAAGGAAATACAAAGCCATCCATGCTTGAAGTATCCAAAAAGCGCCCGAGATAGTTCCAGAATCCCGGAACTTCATTGCCCGAGAAGCATGAGTAAAGCCTCTATATAAAACTGCAAGAACAAGAGGGGCCAATGCGAGGCGTTGTCCCGTGGCTAGGGCTGCGGCAATTTGCAGATAATCTTTGCAAACTTTAAGGGCAAGAATAAAAAACACATATTTTGACAGCCAAAAGAGCAAGAAAAAGAGACGCTCATCTTGGGTAACAGGACCCGAAGCTCGATGAAATCGAGACAAGAAATTGCTATATGCCAGAGCATCTTCAGAGATAAAAGGCGTGGACAGTACAGGCAAATTCTCGACGGTGTGACCAACCAATTCAAAACTCGCTATGGCAAACACATCAAGCATAGTGATGGACATTTGGCCCCAAGGAAAAAAGAAACAGTTGTTGGAAAAGGACCAGAAAGTGATGGCGGAGCCCAACAACCCACGTTCCAGGTCATAAGATGACATACTAACCTCGAGAGCAATGTCGATTCTGGCAGCTGTCCATAAAAGTCGAGTTTCTTGGTCAGCCTTCAACCGAATAAACCATTTGTGAAAATCCTCTTCGTAAGAAGGGAAACCTCGAAATCGAGAAGACCCGGTGGACCACACATCCGTAATAGAAGAATGTTGCAATGCCAAAGTCTCACTATGTTTATACGGGAAATGGAATTGGAGATTCACAGGTATATTGAGATGGTCCATGAAACTGGGGCCCAGAGAGAAACAGTTGCATTCATCCTCAACAGCTTTCAGTAAATGAAAAAAGTAATTACCAGCGTGCGGATCGTCTTTAAACTTATCAAAAGCTGCGATGTAATCGCTGGCTGAATATTCAGACTTTTTGGACGCCATAAGAAGCAATGGATCAAAATCGGAAAAGGGTTCAAGAAAGGATTTTTAGGGTTAGAGAAGAAGACGCGACGGTGAAACAAGGTTTTTACAAGAATAAAGGATGAAGAAGACGATTTGAAAAGTCACGAGGTGATGTGTCCAACAGGTATTGGGTGAAGAATTCGTAGAGACTGCTCGAAAGGACGTCAAAGGACAGAAAAGCATGATCATCGCGTGGGGATTCGTACACAGATAAGGTACACCTTTAAAAGAAATAAATTCAAATTTATTCCTTTTAAAAGGGGGCATATGTTGACACCCAAAATTATCCCTGGTTGGAGTGGACCGTGTACAAGTTACAAAAGATATAAAGTACGGCCCACATAGCGAAAATCCAAAAAGGCCGCAAGTTAGGCCCAGAGGCGTTAAGAAGACCTAAGGTAATTGTCGACAAGACACGTCATAGAGGTGTCGACAAGTTCAAAATCACGAGCCTTGCACGTGACATCGACGAGTTCAAGATCACGAGCCTTGTGCATGACGTCGACGAATCCAAAATCACGAGTTTTGCACGTGACGTCGACAAATCCAAGACCACAAACTTTGCACGTGATGTCGACGAATCCAAGATCACGAGCTTTGCACGTGACGTCGACGAATCCAAGATCACGAGCTTTGCACGGAATCATGGTAATATGTGGCGGAAAATTCATTTACACGTGTCAAAAGGTAAAGATATGACCGTGGGCGTGAAGATCAAGGAAGAAATAAAGAGACACGTGGAAGAAAATTAGCTATTACGTGATGCCTAAGGAGCGTAAGCAACATCGATAAGTCAGGAAGCGGTTAAAACGCGAAACGTAAGGAAGTAGAAGACGACTTTCAAGGAGAAGTGCGGTCAACAGTTATCAAGCTGCTCTATAAATACTCAAGGATTTCCAACGAAAGAAGGACCTTTTTCAACAAACACAACACATCTTTTATCTAGTCTTTATCCTTAACGCATTAGGAGTAGTTTTAATCGTAGCCTTCAGACTCTTTGTCGTAGATTCAATTCGGACGAGGGACTTTATCAGGTTCAGCATTGTTGATTAAATTCCAACGTTGTGCCACCAGTTCAGCGTCGTTGATTAAATTCCGGCGTTGTGCTTAGAGTATAGCTGTTGATTAGATTCCAGCCATATTCTCTTAAGCTACGTCATTGATTAAATTCTGGCGTACTTTGAAGTTGTGTCGTTGATTAGATTCCGACATAGCTTAATTTCAACATTTGCAAATTGTTGTTTCATTGTTAGTATTGTCGAGTCTAGCATCGTATCAAGTCAGGGTGTAAGATCTAAATTGGGATTAATAAACGCATTTGACATTCTCTGTCCAAGCTTGATTCAGGACCCTGGTCTCACTTAATAAAATCCGAAATGCAGCGTTCGGTGAAAGATTTTCGACGGAGTAAAAACCGGCGAAACACATACCTTTTCTGTAAGGCCATTAATTCCTCTGAAGAAAGCTCGGAGACGTTTTCCCTTGTTAACGGTGCTGTCGCTCTTCGCTTTGTTGTTGCCCTAAGATCAAACCTCCTCCGTTTGTGAGCGTTGACATTTCCACTATGGAGAGAAACTCGCCATATGAAAAATTTAACACCAATCTATACTAATACCAAGTAACTTTTTGAGGGGTAACTTGTCATCGTAAAACGCAACTTTCAACTATATATCTCATAATTAATAATAATTAATTAAGCAAAATGTCACAACCCATTAATTGAGGACTTTGAACTCCCACGTCATTATCAATATACCATAGGCAAATTTCTATCATGCAAGGTACTAGCTGTATCTTTATATAGTAAAAATAATGGTTAATATCTCGAAAAACCCCAAATTGGTACACCAGCGACAAATTTACTCTAAACTAATTTTTTTACCACAAAAAACCCTAAATTGGTACACTTTTGATAATTTTACCCTCTGTTAGTTTTCATTAAATTTTATTGTCAAATTTCTGAGTTTGATGATATATGACAGTTAACGATTGTACTAGTTTGGGGTAGTTATGATTTTTCGTGATATTAATCCAATTTAACAGAGGGTAAATTTGTCACAAATGTACCAGTTTGGGGTTTTTGGTAGTCAAAAAAATTAGTGTAGGGTAAATTTATCACATGTATTACCAGTTTGGGATTTTTGGTAATCAAAAAATTAATTTGAGGTAAATTTGTCATAGGTATACTAATTTGGGATTTTTCGTGGTATTAACCCTAAAAATAATTCGTCTTATTCCCTTATTTGGTTACACATATAATATAATATATGTGTGTGTGTGTTTTTTTTCCATTATTTCTTCATAACCTGAAAAATCAGCCGCCACTTGTTGCACGTTTGCGCTAGTCAAAGTTAACGTAGCTGACGATCGTGAAATATTGCCCCATTTGACTGCATGCCACATTGATTTGGGAAGTTCACCATAGTTGCAGCTGCAAGGCCTCAGTTGTTGACATTTTATGGATCCATCACAGTATTTATGACCTATAGGATATCATGAAGCACATCACATTTGTCCATAATGTGACCAGGCCAATGACAATAATCACAATGTGGTGCCGGGCCAATCGAAATTTTCACCCGGTTCCCTTTCCAGACCAAGGAATGATTTTCTTTACCTCTTTCTTGACGCTTGTTCTTGGTAATAGGCAGTTGTTTAAATTTTTCTGGGGTGGTGACAAGCATTCCCAACGACATCTTTGAAGAATGCTTCAAGTTTTCTGATATAACAGTTTGCTGCCACATTTCTTACGATGGTTGTGTTATCTTATATAGCTTAAAAAAAAACGGACTTTGCTATCAACATTCCTGGCAGAATCACGCAGTAGAAGAGAAGAAACTGACCATCTTATGTATTGTCTATTAAAATTGCTGAGAAAACACAAATTAGGGTAAAAGTGATGACAAATGCCACTAGTCACTCTTCATTAGAGGAAAAATGAGACTGAAAGTATAATGTTGGGTGAGTTGTTTTGAGTTGGAACCCTTGATCAGCTCAGCACCAGGAAAGCAGTGCATTACTTTGAGTTATGAAAATTGAAAGTGGTTTTTAAGTGAATGTTCCGAACCTACAGGAGGAGTTTTTTCATATAACTTCTCCAAAAACAGAAAATGATTCCTGCGGATAAAGGAAAAAAGAAATTATGACTGAAATTTTCTCACTTCCTTGTATCATGAAGCTTAACATCCTTAAACCAAAAAGCTTGGTTTGGGCAGAATCTAATGAATGGATATTCCTGCAGCAGGTTCCTCACATTTGGCATTTGTGCAAATCTTGTATTTTGAGGAAGGCATGTTTATTATTGCGGATGTCAAATCATATATCTCGCGCCAAACAAGTCCCATGAATGTGCCCCAATGTATCAGAATCTTGCATTAGAGATTCCAATGTTCTAAATCTCACACATAGACAATAGATTTCAAATCTCTACATTACCTCATCTAACAATGGAACATCTCCTATCAAAATGTATCCTCTTTTGTCCCTTGAAAGAATCGACCAGATGGACTGCCATCGGGCAACAAGGCCAGACTCGCGGGACCTTCTGCACCTTCCTCCGGAGTCAAGAAACCGGTGTTGCAATTTATATCCGTCTTGACAAATCCAGGGCAGACGCAATTTATATGAAATGTGGGGTAATTTGCCGCTATAATTCTCGTGTACGCGTTCAAGGCCGCTTTAGAGACTCTATATGCAGATGGATGATCTGGCCAGCCTTTGGTCTTTAGAGAACCTTCTTTAAAATCGTTTAGAAACTCCTTTAATACCTTGTCCACTTTTTCTTCTGTGAGGCTTTCAGCATTGCTGAACACTTCTGTAGCCAAGCCCTCCGGTAGATTCTAATCGCAAGGTCACAGGATAATCAAAATGTTATTCATCGGCAATGATATAAATATGGAACAGCATTTCAATAGTTTAATGTTCTAGATAGACAATGGCCAAAAGAATGAACTACATGGACGAATAATATGACAGCAATGAATTCAAGGAACATATTTCACTTGTGTTTAACAGCAAAAAGAGATCTGAGAGAATTCATTCCTGCTATAAGAAAGCACTGTCAGAAATCTCTATTGCTTTTTGACGGAAATATCCGACTCTTGTAAGACCTATATCAAGCAAACAAGTCTAGCTCAAAGCTTGATCCGTCACATTGTAGAGTTCTCTTGCAAAAATGATGCTTTGCATCAAATTTGATGGCTCGAGAGTAAATTTTCCACTCTTACATTACTGAGAAATATCTTTGAAGTTATAAAATTTGATACTTCTTACCTCTAGCTTCCCCATCGACGAGGAAACATTGACAATCGTGGGCGAGTCTGATAGTTGGAGGAGGCCAATGAATGCATCAACCATCCTTTTGGCACCATAATAGTTAATGTTCAGGCACTCTTCAGTTAATTCATATGTCTCTGTTATAATTTTACTCCAATCGACTTGCTTCTGCATCATCAAGAGAAAATCTTATGAACAAGCATAAGAAACATAACAATGAATATGTATTTTAAATTCCTAGGGAGCTCACCGTGCCATCTCATAGAGGGAGTTAGCCGCAAAAAATTCAAACAAGGTATATTGTGTTAGGATCAGAATTCCACTTTGCACTGGTTGATTACTAAATGGTTCTTCTTCGCAACGTTTCTTTCTAATAACGTGTAACATAAGAAGAGAATGATGTTCTAACTTCAGTCACAATCACTTGCATCATACTATTACAGAAAAGAAAATCCCTTTCAATATCTACACAAGGGCTGAAAAGACCATAGTGATGTTTGTCTTGAGTTTGAGCCCGCCAAGAAAATCCAATCCAAGTATAAATCCAAGTCTGAGTACAAATTGTGGTTTATGACTTGTGTTGTGGTATGACGTCTGAACAAGCAAGCAAAACATCGATTTACTTTTAATGTTGGGGTCAAAGTCGGTTGAGAAGAGTTACCTATTTTTGGGATATAAATATATAGTCGGTCTTTATTGAAGAGCTTGTCGTGATATCAATTTGGATAGTGGACTCTTCATGGAATTACATCCAATTCGTTGTCTTCGTGTGTTTTAATCAAAGAGGACTAGAGTGTTTGAAGCCAAGAAATCTTGTAAAAAGAATTGTGAATTCCTTAGTGAGATCGAGATTATTTTACAAGAAATTGAGATAGCTAAATACTATATAAGTTATTGTATGTAATTGAGAGTTGAGAAATATTGAAAATGTTTGAGTGACTGAGTATGGTTGTAATTTCTACTGTAGCTTGTATAGAACTAGAGTACAATCTTTTTCCATTTTTTACCATAGAATAAATCACACCGATCAAACCACATGAATATAATGGTCGATCTATGTTCTTGTTTTTGTTCATTATTACGTTGGATCGCTTGTTTTGCACAGCAAGTAATATGACAGAGCCTTCTTTGTTATGAACTTCAAGCAGTAACTAGCGCCCCTAATGACCAGGCCAAGTAATGTTCAAGTTGAGTTTTTCTTTGAACAACACCATTGTAAGAGAAACTGAGATTGTACCTTTCCAATGCCGGAAACTCTCAAAGCATCAGCTTCGATAATGGCTCCGGTAACACCAGCATTGTTCACCTGGAAAAGAGATTTTTTTAGCACAATATTCTTCTGCAATGATAAAATAAGGCCCATCCCTAGACGAGTATCAAGGGACCTATGAATAGTATACTAAAGAGTCAGTAATCAAGGAGGACCATCAAAGTAAATCCTGAACTAACTAGATAATTAATTGAGAAATGGGGTTGAACATACTTTATCTGTATGTAACTAATGCATCGAACAGTATATTGCACAACAGAAGGTAGATCAATGCAGTGATGCATACTATACATCTTGTACTCGGATTGAAACTACATATACTAGAAACCAATCCAAGAAAAAGCATAATTACAGGAGATTGGCACCATTCTGTATCTAGTCAATCGAAGTTATCACTCATTCCTAAAACAATGCACCTCAGATAGACAAGGGAAGTTCAGACATATGATCACAGATTCCTCGCCAGTCACAATTATGCAAGAACATCCAAACACATCAATCTCACATATTGAATTATTTATCAATACCACAATCCAAGGTACATCAAGATTCTTATTGCAAATTACCCTTTTTTGCCTTTACATATGGGAAATGCTCATGGTACTACAATAGCAATATTCCATCATACACCATCAACTCTGGATGCATTTTTGGGATACAACACTTTTATCTTTGTTGGTCCCAAAAGAAAGACAAATTTTTGGGGTTTACCAGAATATCGAGCTTTCCGAATTTGTGCTCAACAAAGTCAGCAAGCGATGAAACACTGGCAGGATCAGAGACATCAAGCTGGTGGAAAATGACATGATCAGAGAGACCATACTCTAACTTCAGCTTGTCAATAGCCTCAAGTCCTCTCTTCTCATCTCTAGCAGTCAATACCACCTCAATCCCTTTGGAAGCCAGGAGCTTGCACACTGCAAACCCAAGCCCTTTGTTGGCTCCTGTAATAACTGCATACCTGAAAAAAAACGTACAGAAAAAGTGGGAAAAAAAAAACTTTGCAAGAGCAAAACGAAATTTGGAAGGAAATAGAAGGAAAAAAAATGTATGGTGATGGGTTTATTGCCTCTCAGGTTTGGAGTCTGCCATGGATGATGATGAACTGGAAATGGAAATGGGTTCAAGAAGTTAGAGTTTTGTAGAGGAAACATTTATTTTTATGTGACAGGTAAGCGCCAAGGTTGAAGCTTTGGCTTGGAGCTAAGCACTCATTATCGAGAATTAAATACGTAAAGTAAATACACAAGAATCCAGAAGGTCAGCATCGTTAGGTGGGCATAGCAGATATCTTTAACATCGAGTCACTCGTCTTTTTTCTTAGGAAAACAACCTTGTTCTCAATCATGCACATGCAACGACGGGACCTTTCTTTTTATTTTGTTTTTCCTCTCTTTTTTTAATGATTGGGAGGGACAAAAATAAAATAAAAGTACAAGATTGACTCCTGAAAGTACGCCGACTACCTCGTCAGCACCCTCAGCTAGAGCCAGCCTGAGTTAGAACCTTGAAAGGCAATCGATAGAATAATAATGTTTCTTTTCAATCTTTTTGGCAACAGGTTATTTGGTTTATTGTGCATCTTAAGTTTAGTAGGAATTGTTTGAGGAAGCCACAATCTTTGGTGATTATCCCTTGCATAACTCACTTGAGCCTCTAAATTCGTTTTTGGACTCAGTTGATGATCCCCACACAAGGGCAACGCAAGTGAGTTGTCACAACGAAACAATATGGTTTGGAGTATCGACAAAAGACAAAGGCCTCAAGAGTCCAAATATGCTAAATTGTGCAACAGTTAATTGAGCCACAAAGTCGGGATAAAGACACTAGAAGTGCCATAACTTTCGTATGGCGCTCATTTGAGGGCTATAACTTTTTTTTCGCTCACTTGAGTGCCACATTGGAGTAAAATAGATAATTTGAGTGTCACTTCCAGCGAAAATCAATCATTTGAGTGCCACTTCCGGCAAATCGTTGCATGTGGATTTTTTATTTAATTTTTCATATCTACGTGGAAATTTTTAAAAATAAAAGGATGAATTTATTGCCACGTCATGTAACAAAAAAGAAAAGAGAGAAAAACATGAAGGGAGAAAAAGAAAGAAAAATAAAAACTTAGGGAGAGAGAGAGGCTACCATAGCCACTCAAGCTCTAAGCTTCAACTGGCCATGGCCGCTAGAGTTTCAAGCCACGATGGCCACCATGAGTGAAACAAAGATGAGGATGCCAAAAGTCGGAGGTCAGAGGGAACGATTTCTCGCCAACAAACAACCGATCAACTGCTCCCCCATTTTCTGCAACTGGGCAAAGGTGTTTCGCCATGAGCTTGAAGCTCGATCAGCCGTGGCAATCGAAAGCTTGGGAGAAAGAATGGAGGGAAGGCTCTCTGTATCTCTTGACCTCTCATTTCCGCACCTCAATCACCACCCGATTCTATCCAAATTCACGAGCCTCTTCACTCACTTCAACTCCCTCATTTCGCCTCCACCCTCGAGAACCCCCAAGACCTCTGCACATCCCGCCGCCGGCTTCAATTTCTCCTCCACAACCCTCTCTCTCGAAAACCCTATTTCCCCTCCTAATTACTCAAAATCGATCAAACCCAACTCAAGAAACAGCCCCAAAGTGTAATCCCTCGTTAAGAACCTCTCCATCTTTGAGCGAGCTCTGATCGGCGTTGCCGGAGGCAGGATCGCTGGCGCGTTCACTTACGTGAGCTTGCGCCCACTCGACACCATCAAACCAAGCTCTAGATGAAGGGCGACTCGGAACTATATAAGAACACGTTCGATAAGTATGATAAGTGGAGCAAGGACGAAGTCTTGAGCGGCGAGGCATGTGGCTGAGCCCTCGTCGGATTTGGGCTCGGCTAGCCAAAATTCCTAAGTGCTACAGTACCCCAACCACGGGGAAGATGAAGTTCTTCATTGTGCCCATCTGCAAATTAGATTGGCCAAATAAAACTAAAAAAATGATTAAAAAAAAAAGCATAAAAATTGTCCACGTCAGATTTTCCGGCGTCCACGTCAGATTTCCAGCTGTCAAATGGCCAATGGCACTCAAGTGATCACTTTTTCAAATTTTTGGCACTCAAGTGAGCGAAAAAAAAGTTATGGTACTCAAGTGAGCGCCGTACGAAAGTTATGGCACTCCCTGTGTCCTTATCCCCATAAAATCAAAGATTGATGTGTTTGCAATGCCACAAGAGTAGTGTGCTGCAAAAGTGCACAAAATCACAAAAAAAGAAAAAGAAAAGGCAAAGCAAAATGGTGTTCAATGAAGTGAAAATGCCAAGGCCAAGGCCAAGGGCTTAAGTTCTCAAAAATCATCCCCCGATCTCACAAATCCCAGAAGAGTCAAGTTTTGACTTTTGTGGCTAGTGAAGAGCTCCATCAATACGAGTTCCTAACAATTTTGGAGGAAAGTTGATAACGATGTCGAGATAATTACCAATTTCATTACCAACTTCAAACCCTTCAATGAAAAAAATTTTAGTCTAATGAATCTTTTTGTTTCTCAACCCTTTTACCGAGCCTACGTTACATACTTTTACCAAGCCTATTATACATCCCTCATAATGTCGCTTCAGATTATGATGTTTGGATTCACATAAAAGCTTTGAATGTTCAAAAGTTTTGCTTGACTAAGTGTAAGTAAGTCTAATTCTATCTCTTTTGTAGGGTTCTTGACTTGTAAACAAAGCAAAGATGACCAATCAAGAACATTATTTTCATAGCCATGAATGTATTATCCATTTGTTAAGCCGTTAATCAAGCCTTCATTAGAGTCTTATCTAAAGACCTTTAGGATTGATAAGATCATACTGTTTGCGAGAAAAACCTATCGATATGATAATAATGGTAAGGTCAAGTGTTTCTTTTTTCCACATTAATGGATGGGACAAAAACAGCATTTCCAATGAGAGTGACTAGAAAGTTCTTTGAGACTAATAGTACTTCATTAGCATTTATAGCTATCCACATTATGAATAAAGATCATCCATATGATGACTTTTTCTTGTCATATTTTGGTGATGCAGACATGGTAGAATTGTCATGCATAATCCTTAACTGAAGATGAAAATAATTATTTCTAGACATGCTAATGCGGGAGCATCTAGCGTAATTCCATCGATGAATTTAGCACAATCGATGTTTATTCAAGTCAAGGCAAAATTTAGTCATAACTTGTTTCGATGGGTCGAGAATGAAGTTATCGATAAAAAGACTATCGACCAGGTTACTAATTAATGAGTTGTCGATTCTTCCTTTGCCGTTCAAGTAATGAGTTACCGATTCACCAGAGTAGTTGTCAATTTCTATGCGAAACAACAACATATCAATGGGAGGCTGTTCCGAGCAATTTCCTTTGATATTTGTCAATTTCCTAAGATGATTATTTCTTGGTTAAGGTTGATGGACGAATTTTGGAAGATGAACGCAAGGCTGAAAAGTCAAGATTTCAAGTCTTCATGTCATTAATGCATTTTCTAGTTACTAGGTATTTAAATGCTTTCTAGTTCCCATGTCGTTAATATTTGGGGAGTCCCCACGTCTCTTTAATGTTTATCTATTTCCTACCTGTTAGTCCCCCTACAAATAAAGAAGAGTTCTCTACTGTAACGCAGACTTTGATGAATGTATGAGAATTCCTCTACGTGAGTTGAATTACCTATCCGATTCTTTATCTAAGTTCCTTGGTGGTGAATCAAACAATTCTTTGTCCTTGGCAGGTGGAGCAATTTTTTAGGCCTAGGTGGTTAGCTACCCGTTATCACAATTCTTTGTCCTTGGATGGTGGCTTTTGCCTTTATGCTTCGGTAGTGAACCTCCATCCTTTACAGTTCATTATTTTGTCCCTCTCAACACACCCTTCATACACACAACCCATAATTGCCCACGCACGTATCAAGTTGGTATGAGACTCAAGGTTGAACTCGTTTAAGTGATTCCTTCTATTGTCCAACTCATACTCAACATGGATGACCCAGTTCCAAAAGGAATGACTTTGGAGCAAGCACACAACTAAAGGTGAGATCGAGCCTTAATGAACTCCAACAGTAAATGGAGCAAGTCTTCAACGCCCTAAAGATCTGGTGAGACAAATACGACCAGCAATGCATCCTGATAATCGACATCGACATGACAATTCAGTTCTCATCAAAGCTCTAGTGTCAAATTTGATTCCACTAGAGGCAACTCAAGTACTTTAGAATACCAAACCTAGAGAAGAAGATGGAGGCATAAGGAGAATGATAGTGAAATCAAATTTGAGGGTAGTCTCAATCCATATGACTTTGTTGATTGGCTATGTTTGAATGATCTTTTGACTTCAAGTCCTACTCGGATGAGAAAAGATGTAAGGTTGTTGTCCTTAAATTGACGAAATATAATTCTCTTGGGTGGTAAAATTTAAAGCATTAGCAACTCAGGGAATGAAAAAGCCAGATTAAGTCTTAGGAAAAACTCAAGAAACTGATGAAGGTTTTTTGCCCGACAACTATAAGCAAGACTTGTTCCTTAAACTGAACACCTTAAAACAACAAGGGATGAACACTGAAGAAGAATACATCGGAGGGTTTGAACAACTCAAGATGAGATGCGAAGTTCCAGAATTTCCGGAGCAAACCATTGCTCGGCGGAATGAATCGGGAAATTGTTGATTTGGTTGAACTTCAACCTCATTGGTCCTTCAAAGACGTGTAAGTTGGCAATGAAAGTCAAAAAGAAAATGAAGAGAAGCAAGAGATTTTCTACCAGAACCTCGACAAAGGGAACATTCTACAAGGTGCTTCCTCAAACAAGGCCGAGAGTACGTCGACAAAAGACAAAGGTAAAGAGAAGTCTATGGAGCTTGCCAAAGAATTCCACAAGAAAACTAATGGTAAATGAAGGAAATTATTTAAGTGACATAGCTATGGGTATTTGCATGATTATTGTCCTAATAGGAGAGTTATGACTCTTTAAGAAATTGAAAAGATCAATTTGGAACTTCAAGAAGATAAGAACGATTTTGACCATAACGGCTCCGA